CCGAAAAATTACACTGTATATATAAGGCAAAATATGTTTTTTACCTCTATATATTAAGTTTTGAACACCCTTAACACAATCCAAAAGTGTAGTTTAGTGGTCAAGGGGGGTCAAAATCTACATACGGTCATGGGTTCAATTCCCACTAGCTACAAAAAAAAAAATTTGATCCCCCTTCGTAGAGATCCTGCCTCCGCCACGGGTTCCACTGCCCCCGAGGGCGGGTGTCTTGCTCAAACCCCGATACTAGAGACTCCCCGCCCAGATTCCGATTCATTACGATCATGTTCCTTCTCCGTTTGTCTTACCGAAAAATTAAGATGTTCAACGGGCTCGGTTTTACCCGTATACAGATAGTCCCCTCGTTTCTTAGAGAGGAGGTTTACCGAAACGATGAGAAACGAGAAATGCTTTTCAACTCCTTCTTTAATGCGCCGTAACATAAACGACAAAGAAGCCGAAACGTCACGTCAGTCGCGTCGTTCTAACTTCGAACACATGTCAGCCATTGGCAAGTCACCTCTGAACGTGAAGCGTCACGAAACCTATATAAAAGCTTCCATTCCTCGTTTTTCATCGTTTGACCAAACTTCTACCTTCGATTCTCAAAGTTGCTACTAACCTTCTTCATACTTTCATATTTTTACCTCCGTTCTTCAAGATTTCTCAGTAATTTCTAATTTTTTACCTAATATTTACCCAAGTCAGCATACTTGACTTTTCATTTTTCAAAACCTTTTCTTAGACCTTTCAAGCTTTTTCAGATAACAATGGCTAAAACATCCAAATTTGTTCCTCAACAAGTCGCTTCTTCTTCTTCCCAACCGACCGCTGAAATCGAGGAGGTCGTTCCCGAGATAGTCTTCCTCAAGACGTCTGCTCTAACATGGCTATCGATGAACCGGCTCCCGAGCCTCCCTGGAAAATGTTCATCCCCGGGGGCTGCTCAATTGCAGATGACTTTAAGGTCGAAAAGCCCTCATCGGTGCACGGCCGGGGTGAAGGAGCATCAAGGTATATATGCTCTATTACTGAAAACGTCATTCTTGTGGTCCGAGGGGACTGCAACTGGGAGGGTAAGGATGTAGTAGTCCCCAAGCCTGAGGACGTCATCACTACCCATGTGGAGGGGTATCTAAGTGTTTACACTTATCCTTCACATTCGGCCCGGTGGATCCGGTTATCCTGGACTTCTGCAAGAGGTACGAAGTATGCCTCGGTCAGATCCATCTGTCGCTATGAAGGATCGCGATCCTCATTCGTTACTTCGTGAACAAGTTTGAATCTCGACGGTTCGCCATCGATCATCTACTCCACCTATACAGTCCCTGAATCTTCCGAGGGGGACTAATAAAGCTCATACGCTGGGATAGCAAAGCCCCATTCTCGAGTATCGATAAGGACCGGGACCGGGGCTGGACGGGATGCTTCGTTCAAGTGAAGAACAAAGACTTGATCCCCCCCCTCCCGAGTTCATGCTATTCCTTGAGAAGTGGAATGTATCTCATATAGGGCCGATGTCAAAGCAGTCGAGGCCCGCCTGAAGACCACTGTTGAGTACGTGAAGCGGCTATCCCGAAAAGAGACCTCAAAGAGATCCATGCCCTAGGCTTTGACCTATCTGCGGAGATCGAGGAGGCAAAAACACTTGAGGTCGAGGCCAAGAGGCTAGCTAATACCGAAGGTGAAGAGGGCTCTGAGGGCTCTAAAGAATTCGAAGGCCCCGACGGTGTTGGTGACAGATCAAGTTCCGGTGAAGATCAGGCTTAGATGCCTTAGATTTATTTTTGTTTTTGTTTTTTGTATCATGTACATATATTTTGTTGAGGCTGTTTTTGTTGAGCCTTTGTAAAGATATTCCGAAATATATAAAAATTTCCCTTTATTTATTCTTCGAACATCCAATTTACTAGGCGTTGATAAGTGGAACCGACATTTTTTAGTCCGAACGACATTACGTTATAACAATAGGTGCCTAATTTAGTGATAAAAGAAGTTTTTTCTTGATCGCCCGGGTCTATCTGGATTTGGTTGTACCTGGAGTAGGCATCGAGAAAATTGAGTATCTCTTGCCCGGCCATTGCATCGATCATACGATCGATGTTAGGCAAAGGAAAAGAATCCTTGGGGCACGCCTTGTTCAAGTCTTTATAATCTACACACATTCTTAATTTATTTCCCTTTTTATGCACAACCACTACGTTAACCAACCAATCCGGGTACTTAACTTCCCGAATGAAACCTATTTTAAGGAGTTTGGATACCTCGTCTTTGATGAACGCATGCTTGACGTCGGACTGAGGCCTCCTTTTCTGTTTAACCAGATAAAACTTCGGGTCCAAGCTTAGCTTATACGTCGTTACCTCTGGCGGGATCCCTGTCATATGTAAATGGGACCAAGCAAAACAATCCACGTTAGCTATAAGCAATTTAATGAGTTTTTTCCTGAGCTCGGGAGTCAACTCCATGCCCAGGTATACTTTCCGACCGGGCAAGAGTTCGATCAACACGACTTGGTCTAGCTCTTCGACCGTCGACTTGGTGGCGTTGGAATCATCAGGGGCTATGAACGACCTAGGAACTTCGTTTCTCAGGATCGGTCGGTACCGGTGTCGGTGATTGCTATTTTTTTCTTCCTTCCTAATCGAATCCAGGTTCATTAATGTCAAGAGTATGGATATCGGGTCATCTCATCAACCGCGAACATTTATTTTGCGGCCGAATATTCTTCGTAAACTGTCTTTGTCACGCCCCAAACTCGGGGAGCGCGACCGGCGCTCAACCGACTGTACCCGGCTGAGCAAGCCTATTAGATTCTTTCTACCCAAGCTCACTCATAATTAGAGAGAATACATTTTTCATTTATTAAACAATAGGGAGATCATATAGACAATACTAATTCACCATTAGTTACTCTTTTTGACAAGTCTAAGAATACACACATTTTTATGATTTGAAGTGGAACAAGTGATCAAAACACAACATAACTTGTTTTACTTTCCCAACACCTATATACAACCCACACTATGCCTACGGAGCCTCTAATAGATACAAAGAAGTACTATGATATTGCTGACAACAAGGCCCCGGCTATACCTCAACACCATATACAAAGAACAAAAGGTACATGACCCTGAAACGAAGTGGGGCTCACCAAGTCTGCTGGAAAGAGCGTGTACCGCTATCACTGATCAATGCCTCCTGTTGTGGAGCCACCTGCATCCATTGAAGATGCAGCGCCCTCGGCAAAAGGGACGTTAGTACATATGGAATAGTACTAGTATGTATAACTAAACACCCTCTCAATAGAATAAGTAATAATACAAGGAGGAACAATCATGAAATCAATAGAAGCCTCAAACAATACCAAAACATCAAGTTAAGAACCACATAAGTTTTCAAGTAAATTTCCATGTTTTTAGGTTGGGAGATCTTTAGTATCGATATACCATCATTCACAATACCACCGTAATTCTACACGGAGTCCGATCACGACCCGATCGGCTAGGCCATCTCACTTGAGACATCAATCACAATCACAATTTCAATTACAATTTCTAGCACAATCACCATCATGTGTGCGGCATGGCGTCCGACCATGACCCGACCGGCTAGGCCGTCTCACCCGAGACATCATCCTTTTCTATCAATCAACTCATTTCGTGCTTCTTTCAGATCTTTTAAATTCATTGGCACTAGTGGCCACAATTATAATATCATTCTCAGCCTCATATTTCATGCTCGTCCTTCTCACTTTCAAACATCATCATCATTACCAACAACAAGGCTTTTCAATTCAAGACTTTAAGTACACATGTGAGCAATGAGTTTTAGACATATAGAGGTTTTTCACATTATTTGGCATAATAACCTTCATTCAAACTTGACTTGAAGTCGTAACATTCTTAACACACAGCCCATACTTTGAACACATTCTCAAATGATAACATATCATGATAGGAGCATTTGGAACACATATTGAACATATATCTTTCAACACAAGTTTACTCGAAATAGCCAACTTTATAATGACCAACTCGGGTCTTACATAACTTACATGAACACCGTGGGATTCGATTCTAAGAAAGGAGTTTAGCCAAATTGAGCTTCCTTAAACTCTAAAATGTTCTGGAATTCATATCAACTTCAATCTATTTTAGAAATATAACAAAGTGAATCAAAATTAGGAAGATGATCATTGATCTAGCTCATTTGAGCATTTTATCAAACACTAGGTGTGCATTAAGGTTTCAAGGTCCTTTTATGGAGGATTCCATCATCCTACCATCCATTCTTTACTATTTTAGCTCAACAATCTCCCTACATTCCATGATCACACATGTATGCAAAATAGGCAACTCCCATACCCATGAATTTCCTTACTAATTGCCCATTTCTAGTTAAATTTTGAAATTAAGAGTTAGGGTGTAGAATCTTACCTCTAGGATGAAGACCTAGTGTGTTTTCCTTGTTAACCTTCCGAGATTTGAGTAAGAATTGGTGGATGAAGCTTAGGAACTCCCTTTCTCACTCTATGCCACTCCCTCTCCCTAGAAATATATGTTTTATCCTTCTAAAATTATTCCAAAGGGTGTTTTATTAGAATGGGGCCGGGTTCAAAAATTAGAAAAATAGGAGCCCCGACACAGGTTTGCGGTCGCATATATGCGACCGCATAATGTTTTTGCGGTTCGCGAAATGGGCTGCGAAATGGCCCTCCAGAATTGAGCAGGTATGCCCTTCTCTGTGGCCATTATGCAGTTAGCAGAACCTCCATCTGAAAATTTTCCATGCTGAATCTGCGATCGGTGTACGGCCCGCGAAATCGTTGTGCGGCAGCCGACGGCATAATGGACCCAAATTGGTCCTACTATTTTGCTCAAGTTTCTTCTTCGCTTTGCGGCTATTCTGCGGCCCGCGATGTGATTCTGCGGCCGCATAGTGGGTTGCAGAAATATCTTTTTCTTCTTACAATTTCCCTTAACTCCTCAGCACACTGTTCAATTTCCTCGATCTGGTGATATTGTCCGAGCTACTGGATCAATTAACATACGCTTACCTCGAGATTTATATATGAGTACAGATATTGCCAGTGCATTATTATGTGGTTGCACGATGCCTTTAGCGTCCTCATGATTGAAAGATATGGTTCCCTCTGGTATATAACCTCGAGTCCATTTTCCCCTTGTAATGGACACCTTAGTGCGCTTTAGCATTGGCCCTTGGGGGACGTCAGCTCCACTAATGATCAAGTTAATGACATGCTGAGGTTCCTCTTGCTCGGTCTGGTTGTTGGAGTCCCTATTCCTGAAGTGATTTTTAGCTCGATCACTCAGAAATTCTCGGAGGTACCCGTTATTGAATAATCTGGCTACTTCTTCTCTCAGTTGTCGATAGTCTTCGGTCATGTGCCCGTGAGTGCCATTATACTTACACATTTTGGGGTCCTTTTGGGCAAGATCGGACTGCAATGGTCGAGGTCATTTGGTATCTTTGATGCGTCCGATAGAGGATTCGATGCTGGCAGCATCGACACTGAAGTTGTATTCTGATAGTCTCGGTGCCTCCTTGGCCCCGAGTGGCTTGTCGAAACCGTTCTTACCCATGACTTCCCGACTACTATGACCTCAATCGTTCCTTTTTTCACTCCTCACAGGGTTGCGTTCGGATCCTTTACCCCTTCGATCTCCATTATATGGTTGATACCGATCTCTGTTCGATCTTGGTTCATGATCGACAACTCTTTTGGATCTGTCACTAGTTCTGACGGGATACACGGATTTGGAAGGGGCCCCGAGCTGATCATCTTCGACCCTAATTTTTGATTGGTACCTGTTATGGACGTCGAACCAAGTTACCGCCAGGTATTCTATCAAATTTTGTTTCAACTGTGCTGCGAAGCCAATGAGCTTTGTGGGTGAAGTCCTTGACTTAATGCCTGAATGGCCCAATTGTCTGTGACCGGAGGCAGATCCATCCGTTCCATTTGAAACCTCGACACGAATTCCCTGAGCATCTCGTTATCCCTTTGTTTTTTTTTTGAAAAGGTCTGACTTCCTAGTCTCGACCTTGATGGCCCCGACGTGCACCTTTACAAGGGCATCTGCAAGCATAGCAAACGAATCAATAGACTTAGGGGATAAGTTGTGATGCCATATTATAGCTCCATTCGACAAGGTTTCTCCAAACTTTTCCAGCAAAACAAATTCGATTTCGTCATCTTCTAAGTCATTCCCCTTGATGGCACAAGTGTAGGAGGTCACATGTTCATTTGGATCAGTTGTTCCATTGTACTTCAGAATTTTCGGGCCTACGAAACTTCTTTGGGATTGGTTTCAGAGCTGCACTCAAAGGGAAATGTTTTTGGACAAATTTCATGGAATCCATGCCCTTCAGTATCGATGGTGCTCCGGGGATTTGATTAACCCTGAAGTTATAGGTCTCCAATTTTTTATCGTTGGCTTCGATCTTCTTTCCCCCCAATTCCACTTGCTTTGTTAGTTCCTCTAGCATCTTTATTATTTCGGTCTAGCCCCGGCTTCAGCTTCACCCAGCCCTTCGGAGGTTCGTTTATTTCTTCGGATGTTCTCCCGGGATGGTTCGGGCTCACCTCTGCTGGGAGCGCGACTTTGGTTATGTAACTGGGCTATTGTCACCTGTTGAGCTTGTAACTTTTCGAAGATCACCCGCAAATTGATACCATAACCTTCGCCGTCGTGCATACCCCTAGCTAACGACCTGGCTCCTCCCCGAACATTGTTTTTCGGGTCGGTGGGCAAGTTAGCGTTGATGGCCACATGGGAGTTGGCATCGATTGGGTCTGTGACTGAGACTCCGTTGGGGTTAGCAGGGGGAACCGTGTTGCTGGGTACTATATTGTTGTTCTCGCCATGGTGGCAAGACTCATCATCAATGTTCAAGTGAGCAGATTGAGAGTTTGTCTTTCTTAATTTTTTCTGAAATTAAAATCTTAAAGAACAAGCATAAATGAGAGTGCGTTATAGAAATTTGTATCAAATTGTCACTATTATCCTTTTTCACACGGCGGGCGCCAAACTGTTTACCCTAAAAACGGATAACAATTAAATTTATACGTGGTTTAAGGATATGTAGATTAATTCAATACAAGTGATTAATGGCATTAGATTAAACAGATAAAAGACGTGATATATTGCCAAACCAATAATGAGAGTGATCCTGGACTCAATAACAGTTTAATGAAGTGCCTGCCCTCGATCCCGAGCTCACACTAATGAAGTACTGATGAACAAAAATAAGAACTTTGAATAACATAGTGAATAAAAGTATATTGCCTTGATATGAGTGTTACAATGTGTCCTATGAATAATAAGTTTTCCCCTTTATATAGTAGGAGAATTTTATTTTACCCTAAGTACAATTCTAAGAAAGGTAAAAATCCTCTGTTTCTCTAATAACTGATTTTCTATCGATACGGGACGAGATTCACGCCGTGATATTCGGTTTGGCACGGATATTACGGCCCTTCGTTAGTCGTGTGCGGTCGTTCAATAATGTTCTCCGAAGTCTCGAGGCTCAAATCGAACCAAGAGGACGTGGTTCCGATGCCCCGGAGGGCAGGTGTCTTGCTCGAACCCCGATACGAGAGGCTTCCCGCCCAGATTCCGATTCCTTACGATCATGTTGCTACTCCGTTTGTCTTACCGGGAAACTGTGATGTTCAACGGGCTCGGGTTCACCCGTATACGAAAGTGTAAGTGTATTGTCCTTTTTGTGTTTATAAGTTATGATTGTTGGCATGTTCCTCCTAATGTAGAGCTAACTTTCTCTCCTCGTTTTCTCTTATTTTCTTATTTCATTCTCTTTTCCCTGATATGAAATGAGTCATTAGGATGTTGATTTGTTCATTTTCAAGACTTGCTTGAGGTTATAACATAAATTATTTAAGCATATCACTCGTGAAATATCCTATGGTTATATAATCTATACTATATTAAAAGCACGAAGGCCTTTAGCGAAATATCGTTCGCCTTTTTCACCCTTTAAAAATGTATTTTACATTGGATAAAATCGTAAAATAAAAAAACATTCCTAATATTTAGGAGTTCTAAATTAAAGAAGTTTAAAAAATATAATCTAGTGTTTGATATCTTCTCCAAATAAGGATACGAAATATTAAGACACTAAAAGAAAACAAAAAAAGTAGGAGGAAAGTTTCTTTTCCAACAAGGAAAGTCCACGAATGTATTTTTTTTAGAAGCTTAGTTGTTTAATCCATTTGTCTTTGTTCTTAAAATTTACGACGGCATTAGGTTAATAGTAATTATTGTTGGAAAAAATAGGAATTATTAATTTGTGATAAAAATTAATCTCCATAATTAAGTTTCAGAAGTACCTAAATTATTATTTTTTGGTAAAAAAGAAACCAATATTATTATTAATAAAGTTTATTACAGAATTTTGACTTTACAAAATAGGAATTATTTACAAAATTCATCTATTTAATTAGTGATATATATTATAATCTATCACTAATTCTATTATGATTAGAGATAAATTTTTATTATTAGCGGCATAATTGATCCATCACTATTTTTTTTCTTTTTATAGTTGATATGTCTATAATAAGTACCTAGACGGTCATTTTGATACAAAATTAAAATAAAAGAACGGGATAATAATAGAACACTAATCTTTCAAGATTATATTGGTTATTTATGTTATATTCGTCATTTTCAAGAGCTTATATTTTTTAAAATTGTATTTTCAAGGGCTTTTATTTTTTTATAATTTTATACATTTCGATATAGGGTACACGCGCATCGTGCGTATCCTAAAACTGTTGGACTTTAAGCCATTGGGCTTTAAAGTAGAATAAGTGTGAATTGGAAATGGAGGGAAATAAAATGGAGGGAAATTGAAAATTTGAAGAAGTGAACTTTTGTCTTGCACTTTATCCCTCATTGGTGAGGGACAACCACATTTGTGTGCTTATATATAGAATCACTTCTTAAAGCTCATAAAAGGAGTTGAAAAGAATGAACCCTCGCGCCGTCGTCGTCGCTCGCTCGGCTTTGGCTTTGGCTTTGGCTTTGGCTTTGGATTTGTCAAATGATCGATAAGATTATTTTTTGGACAAAATTTATTTAATTATTTAATAATTAATTAAATGCCAAATCACTACTGCTGAAGGTTTAGAAAGCCCCTCTTACCGAGGTTCTGCCGCGACCGCGGTAGAACCGCAACAGGCAGGTTCAGAAGGCTCCTCTGACCGCGGTTCTGCCGCGACCGCGGTAGAACCGCGGCAGGCAGCGTATTCTTCTGAAAAGGCACCTTTTCCAGACACCTCTTCTGATAATTTGCCTATAAATTCTGAGGCAAGGGTCCATTTTCTAGATACGAAAAACACTCCAGAACTTCTTTCTTTCTGAATATACTGCATTCTAATTCGCAGTCTCTCTCTCTCAAATTCGTAAGTGTGATTTTGCTTCGTTCTTTAAGTTCGTTGGTATCCTGCAGTTTGTATTGCCACTGTTGCAGGAAGGTTTATTCCGTTTTATCCTTGGAGGATTTAATCCATAACCTTGGCAACTTGTGAGGGGGTTAAAATTCTTAAGGACACACAAGCAAATTGTGGACTCGGAATATTTCTTAAACTCTACTATTTTTCCAGATTTCTTTAATTCTTCTAACAGTTTTATTTTCCTGATTTTGTATTTTAACACAGTAACGCTGTCAAGCTTAAGGAATTTTATTTACTAACGTTTCTGTGTTGAAACATTTATTAAACTGTTATTCATATTTTGTATACTGTTTTGGAGATTAAAGCCTTGTTGCTTTCTACTCCAATAATTCTTTCTGTCCGGTTTAAAGTACATAAAAACTTTGTCGGAATAATAAACGTACGGGTTTGAAGTATATAAAAACTTCACCATTGTTACGTGTTGTATGTTTGGTTTGATATTCAGTTTGAAGATATCAAAACTTCACTGATTTAACAAAGTTCTGTATTGTTTTCAACTTTACAGAAATATTACGAATGAAAACCAAACTAATGGAAGTGTTGCGGGAACGGGTGCTACTGTTACGAGTGCTGCTGCCTCGTCAAGCCGTTCTACTCCTGCTCATGCCATGGCACCGGCAGAAAAACCCGAAAAGTTCTCCGGTATTGACTTCAAACGCTGGCAAATGAAGATGCTCTTCTATCTTACTACGTTGAGTTTGCAACGTTTCATCAAGGAGGATCCTCCGGTCATGGCTGAAAATACTCCGGATGATGAACGACTTGTTGTAACTGAAGCATGGAAACATTCTGATTTCCTGTGCAAAAATTACATTTTGAGTTGTTTGGAAGATGGCTTGTACAATGTCTATAGTGTCATGGAAACATCAAAAGCGTTATGAAATGCGCTTGAGAAGAAGTGCAAGACTGAGGATGCCGGACTTAAGAAGTTCGTGG